GCTGAGGCAGGAGACTCGCTTGAGCCCAGGATTTGGAGGTTGCTGTGAGCTGTAATGCCATGGCACTCTACCCAGGGGGACAGCTTGAGGCTCTGTCTCCAAAAAAAGAAAAGAAAAAGAAAATGAAGTGTAGAAGTGGAATTACAAGGTATAAGGATAAATGTGTATGTAACGTTAGTACTCCACAGGGCTGAATCATTTTCCACTCCCATCAGAAAACACAATTTCAAGATGTATTTTCCATTGTCAGTGAGATGGAGCATCTTTTTATGTTTAAGGACTGCAGTTTTTTTTTTTCCTTTCCTCTGAGAATCATCTGTTCATGTCCCTCCCCATTTCCTGTTTGGATTTTGATCTTTTTCCTTTCAGTTTCTGAGAGTTCCTGTTATAAAAGCCGCAAATATTTTTTCCCCAGGTCTATCTGCTTTAGTGGGAATACACTGTACCGTATATTCCGTGTACTCCTTTGGCCATTTTGCAGTAAATTTTCCTCTTATGCATCACTTTATTCCAGGGCATTCCCTGGAGATACTTTTGTTTTGGTTTTTTTATTTGTTTGAGACAGAGTCTTACTATGTCGCCCTTGGTAGAGTACCGTGGCGTCACAGATCACAGGAACCTCAAACTCTTGGGCTTAAGCGATTCTCTTGTCTCAGCCTCCCAAGTAGCTGGGACTGTAGGCGTCCGCCAATCTTTTTGTTGTAGTTGTCATCGTTGTTTAGGCCCGGGGCCGGGTTCGAACCCCCAGCCCCGATATATATCGCCGGCGGACTAACCGCTGAGCTACTACGGGCGCCAAGCCTGGAGATACTTTTGTAAAAGTCAGCCAAGGACAGACCAATCAAAAGAATTACTTGACCTGTCTGGCAAGTGTTAAGAAATTGTTTCACATTTACCAGGTAATAACATCATCGTTCTTATTCAATGGTCCAGACTTGCTTAAAGGGGTACATTCGACTTACAAAAACTTATTTTATTGCGCCTTCCCCTCGTTTGCCTTAGCAAAGCGCCTCTGACGCTGCCGACGCAGGCACAACTTCCAACCGCTCGAGAACAATAGCTCCTCGGTTTCGCCTCCAGAGAAGTCAAGACGAAACGAAGCGGCCAGGAGGCCTGCTCTTCAAGACAGAAGAGAGGACATCGGTTTGTAAATGCTCAAAACTTACGGGGTAAGGTTCAGCTAGCCCAAACGGACGGCGCGCCCCGCCCACAGCCCTGCTCCTGAGACTGCACCTGGCCCGCCAGCGCGCGGAAGCATCAAACATATGCCCAAAATCAAAAAGCAACCAATCCCGCGCCGCCTTCGCTTGGATCCCTCCGCCTGAGGCCGCGCCGCAGCCGCAGGTGGCTCCAGCGAGCGCGTCCATCCAGCGGCCGCCTTCCCGTGATGCCCCGCGCGGTTGACCTCCGACCTCGCTGGCCCGCCCCTCCCCTAGGTTGCTTCCCTTCACGCCCCCACCGAGCTTGCTGACCCCCGGCCGCCGCCGGGTGCGCGCCAGATTCTGGGAAAGGGTCGGGACGTGCCACGGGAGGGCAGCTGTTCCATTACCCCTAGAGGCTCTGATCGGGCTAGGCCGGCGGCCACCCTCACCTCGCCTTTCCTCTCCCGCCAGAGTCGGCGGGCGGCGGACGAGTGACTGCGGTCGCGCCCGCAGGCGAGTATTCGGTGAGTGGAGTGGAACGCGATCATGGCGGAGTAGAGGAGGCAGAAGGC